GGTTGGTACGAAAGTTTTTGCACCGTACACTTCTCCATGGGCCCAGTAGGCATTTCAAGACCATGTAGGGGTAAAACTGGTGCGGGACGACAGCAGCGAGCATCGTTACCAATATAACTGAGTTTGTAGACGGTTTTGCCATCATTACAATCGGTCCCAAGAAACTTAAGGCCATTCATAGGCATTATGGGCGCTAAGCGATGAGTATTACAATTGGGTATGTAACTTAAATTATAGGTGGTAACTAGATTTTCATATTTAGGTGGTGGACAACGTGACTTTTCAGCCCAAGGCATAGGTTCTTTGGCCGGCAAACATACCGGCAGATAACTTAATTTTTGTATAGTACACTGTTCCCCTGGAGCCGTAGGACGTATATAATTATAGGTTTGTATTATAGGCTTAGGCGGTGGATTCTTGCATACATCCACTGGCATATAGGAAAGTTTATTGACCGTACAACGCTCTAAGGGATCACACGACTTCCATATACCCTGTCTAGGTTTAATGGGTTCTCTTCTACAATAACCTTTGGGCATAAAATCATGTTTTTGTGAGGTTATGGCATATAAAGGACCACGAAAATTTAAACAATTATCTTTGGGTCTTATGGGTTCTGCACGTGCCACACATTGGTGAGGCATGAAGGATAATTTTTGTATAGTACATTTTTCCATAGGCGCTTTTATGGAGGAAATATTATTACAAGGTTTGACAGGTTTGGCTTTAAACGTATCACCATAATTGCCAGGATAAGAACATTTATAAATGGTTTCAGTTTCCAAAGGTTGCGTGGCGCGCATAATACTTGTTTGAGGTTTTATGGGTAAAGTTCTAGTGGGTTGCTGATAACAACAACCCGAATAATCACCACAATCACATCTACAATTACAATCTCCTGAGGGAGGACAGGGTGGATATTCCAAAGGAGCTTGACAGGGATCACATTGTGGCGGGCAATTGTCGCCACAATGGCCTTCACTCACTGGATTTGTATTTTGAATGCATTCATCGGGAACTTCACAAATAAGTTGACTGGTTATATTTTAAAAACGGGAACGATTAACAGTTGACTTTCTTTTGATATATTTTTATTCAAAGCTACTTACGCACACATAATTTTGTTATCTTAACTTGATTTGTTTAAAGGGATAATATTGATCTTTGATTTATTAAGAAGTTTTCTTAATTTTCTTGCTTTTATATCGTAGAAAAGTTTGATGTTCGAAATGAATTTTGAAGATTTTCTAACAACAAACCACAGAATTGCAACAAATTGACAAATACACAACCGAAAAGAAACAGGATTTTGTTAACGAAAAATAAAAACAATTTATTAATTATTTGACAAACAATTCAAGACATCATAGTTATCAGGGAAAAATAAATTTTCATAGAGATTTTAAGTAAAAAAATATCGAATAATCGAAAAACTCTAAAAATGTTAATAGGGTTTTTCATAAAAAAATTCAAATCCTAAAATTGTCTGTACAAATTTCTAATAATTAAAACATTTTCTATAGAAAATTCGAATAATCGAAAAATATCTGTAGAAATTTCGAATAATCGAAAAAATTTCTATAGAAAATTCGAATAATCCAAAAACGTTTTATAGAAAATTAGATTAATTGAACAAAATTTTACAGATAATCCGAATAATTCGAATAATCGCAAAAATTTTCTATAAAATATTCAAGTAATAGCTAAATTTTATGTAGAAAATTCGAGTAATCTCAAAATTTTATATAGGAAATTCGAATAATTGCAAAATTTTCTAAAGAAAATTCGAATAATCGCAAAATTTTATGTAGAAAATTCGAATAATCGTAAAATTTTCTATAGAAAATTCGAATAATCGAAAAATTTTATATAGAAAATTCGAATAATCGAAAAATTTTCTAAAGAAAATTCGAATAATCGCATAAGTTTCTATAAAAAATTTGAATAATCGTTAAATTTTCTATAGAAAATTCTGATAATCGAAAAATTGTATATAGAAAATTCGAATAATCGTAAAATTTTCTATAGAAAATTCGAATAATCGTAAAATTTTCTATAGAAATTCGAATAATTGTAAAATTTTCTATAGAAATTCGAATAATCGTAAAATTTTTTTATAGAAAATTCGAATAATCGTAAAATTTTCTATACAAAATTCGAATAATCGTACAATTTTCTATAGAAAATTCGAATAATCGTAAAATTTTCTATAGAAAATTCGAATAATCGCAAAATTTTCTGAAAAATTAGAATAGAAAAAAATTTTTATAAAAAATTCGAATAATCGCAATATTGTCTATAGAAAATTCGAATAATCGTAAAATTTTCTATAGAAAATTCGAATAATCGAAAAATTTTCTAAAAAATTCGAATAATAAAATTTTCTATAAAAAATTCGAATAATCGAAAATTTTCTATAAAAAAAAAATCGAATAATCGAAAAATTTCTACAGAAAATTCGAATAATCGAAAAATTTCTACAGAAAATTCGAATATTCGAAGAATTTTCTATAGAAAATTCGAATAATCGTAAAATTTTCTATAGAAAATTCGAATAATCGTAAAATTTTCTATAGAAAATTCGAATAATCGTAAAATTTTCTATAGAAAATTCGAATAATCGTAAAATTTTCTATAGAAAATTCGAATAATCGTAAAATTTTCTATAGAAAATTCGAATAATCGTAAAATTTTCTATAGAAAATTCGAATAATCGTAAAATTTTCTATAGAAAATTGGAATAATCGTAAAATTTTCTATAGAAAATTCGAATAATCGTAAAATTTTCTATAGAAAATTCGAATAATCGTAAAATTTTCTATAGAAAATTCGAATAATCGTAAAATTTTCTATAGAAAATTCGAATAATCGTAAAATTTTCTATAGAAAATTCGAATAATCGTAAAATTTTCTATAGAAAATTCGAATAATCGTAAAATTTTCTATAGAAAATTCGAATATTCTTAAAATTTTCTATAGAAAATTGGAATAATCGTAAAATTTTCTATAGAAAATTCGAATAATCGTAAAATTTTCTATAGATATGTAATTCGAATAATCGTAAAATTTTCTATAGATAATTCGAATAATCGTAAAATTTCCTATAGATAATTCGAATAATCGTAAAATTTTCTATAGATAATTCGAATAATCGTAAAAATTTCTATAGAAAATCCGAATAATCGTAAAATTTTCTATAGAAAATTCGAATAATCTTAAAATTGTGTATAGAAAATTCGAATAATCGTAAAATTTTCTATAGATAATTCGAATAATCGTAAAAATGTCTATAGACAATTCGAATAATCGTAAAAATGCCTATAGATAATTCGAATAATCGTAAAAATGTCTATAGAAAATTCGAATAATCGTAAAATTTTCTATAGAAAATTCGAATAATCGTAAAATTTTCTAAAGAAAATTCGAAAAATCGTAAAATTTTCTACAGAAAATTCGAATAATCGTAAAATTTTCTATAGAAAATTCGAATAATCGTAAAATTTTCTATAGATAATTTGAATAATCGTAAAATTTTCTATAGAAAATTCGAATAATCGTAAAATTTTCTATAGAAAATTCGAATAATCGTAAAATTTTCTATAGAAAATTCGAATAATCGTAAAATTTTCTATAGAAAATTCGAATAATCGTAAAATTTTCTATAGAAAATTCGAATAATCGTAAAATTTCTATAGAAAATTCGAATAATCGTAAAATTTCTATAGAAAATTCGAATAATCGTAAAATTTCTATAGAAAATTCGAATAATCGTAAAATTTTCTATAGAAAATTCGAATAATCGTAAAATTTTCTATAGAAAATTCGAATAATCGTAAAATTTTCTATAGAAAATTCGAATAATCGTAAAATTTTCTATAGAAAATTCCAATAATCGTAAAATTTTCTATAGAAAATTCGAATAATCGAAAAATTTTCTATAGATAATTTGAATAATCGAAAAATTTTCTAAAAAAAAATCGAATAATCGAAAATTTTCTATAAAAAAAATCGAAAAATGTCTTCAGAACATTCGAATAATCGTAGAATTTTTTATAGAAAATTCAAATAATCGTAAAATTTTCTATAGAAAATTCGAATGATCGCAAATTTTTTTTTAGAAAATTCGAATAATCGTAATTATTTATAGAAAATTTGAAAAATATTCTTTTAAAATTTCGAATATCGAAATAGATTCTACGAAAATATGAATAATCGATAATAATTTTGAAGAACATTTTTTTTTTCAAACTTATTTTGTTGGTTTTTCCCCCATTTTTCATTTAAAATCCTAAAACTTTTAGAATCCAATCTAGATGATATTCCATGAAACGAAATCTTCCATTCAAATAATTAAGAGAAACACTTTGAAATTTTTAGGCGTCTTCCTTTCACATTTTATTTTCTTATATAAACTATTGTTTCGTATCCTTTTACAAAGATTTAATAACATATTTTTTCTAAATAATAATAATTTATAAAAAAAACAAAAATTTCTTAAAGAAAATATTAAAAAAAAGTCATGAAATAAAAATGATGGAAAGGAACACTTTTTTTACAAAAAATAAAGAGAAAAACAAGCAAATTAAACTAAACCACAGAAAGTTGTATTGAATGAAAAAAAAACTAAAAATAGAGATGCTTAAAAATTAACAAAAAATAAATAAATAAAAAAAGGAGAGCGGACTAAGCAAAAAAAAGAATACAGATTTCAAATTTTGTTTTAAAGTTTTTTGTTTTTATGTAAAGTTTTGTTTTTATTGAGTTTTTACCTTTAAGGATTAAGTTCATTTTAAATAATAAAATTCTATAATCTATATAATTTAGTTATTAATGTTGTTATGGAGGAGTTTTTCTTTCTTGCTTTCTTGTTAATATGTAGTTCATTTGTTGTTGAATATTGTTTTATGTTTTCGTTCTTTGTTTAATTTAAATATATATAAGGGTTTGTTTTAATATATTTCTTTAAATTTAATTGTATATTTATTTATTATATAGAATTATTAAATATTTAAATTTTGAATTTTATTTGTTTATTTATATAAGTATATAAGAGAGTACGTTTGACGCGGTGTCTTTGCAATTAATTGTATTGTTTTGTATATATAAAAGGTTCTTTTTGTTGGTTTGATGTTTTAAATTTCTTTATATTCAACCGTTTATGCGGCTCAAATATAAAACGTGCTCTTCTGCCTTTTTTGTTGGTTTGATGTTATTTGCTTTTCGTAACTCTGTGGACAATGATCTGATCTCTGTGTTTAAAACTTACAAAATTATTTCAAAACTTTATTTATATTCTTAATATTTTTTTTCTTCTGTTCTGCTCTTCCTTTTTTACTTTAAATTTAAAGTTAATTTAGTTTTTTAAATTTTTTATTTTCGTTTTTTTTTTTCTTTAATTCAATTTTTCACTTTGTTCAATTCTAATTCTTCTTCTGTTGTTGTTGTTGCGGCTGCTGCTGTTGTTTGATTGTTTATGTCTCTCTTAGTTTTAGCGCTTAATCAGATATTGTCCACAGAGTCGGCATCATCATCAGAACTGATTTCATCACCAAATTCAATATCTTCATCCAAACCGTCTTCCACAAAGGTGACTGTATCGTTGATACGCACAGATTCGGGGAATTCACCATAAGTTTTCAAATTTCTAGCTTCATCGGATGTGTATTTAAGAATAACATCGGCCTTTGAATCTTGATAGTCACGAAGACCAACCAAAATTATATCGCCTTGATTGATCCAGACCTAAAAGTAAAGGGCAAAGAGTTTTGTTAATTTCGAATAAATTGTAAATTCTTTTGAATAAATTTAGTATAACTCAAAAAATTTTATAGAAAATTCGAATAATCGTAAAATTGTTTATAGAAAATTGGAATAATCATAAAATTTTCTATATAAAATTGGAATAATCGAAAAATTTTTTATAGAAAAAACGAATAACCGGAAAATTTTCTATAAAATATTCGAATAATCGAAAAATTTTCAATATAAAATTAAAAAAAAATCGTAAAATTTTCTATATAATTTGAATAATCGTAAAATTTTCTATATAAAATTCGAATAATAGGAAAATTTCTATAGAAAATTCGAATAATGGAAAAATTTTGTATAGAAAATTCGAATAATGGAAAAATTTTGTATAGAAAATTCGAATAATCGTAAAGTTTCTATAGAAAATTCGAATAATCGAAAAATTATCTATAGAAAATTCGAATAATCAAAAAATTTTGTATAGAAAATTCGAATAATCGTAAAGTTTCTATAGAAAATTCGAATAATCGTAAAGTTTCCATAAAAAAATCGAATAACCGAAAAATTTTCTATAGAAAATTCGAATAATCGTAAAGTTTCTATAGAAAATTCGAATAATCGAAAAATTATCTATAGAAAATTCGAATAATCGAAAAATTTTGTATAGAAAATTCGAATAATCGTAAAGTTTCTATAGAAAAATCGAATAATCGTAAAGTTTCCATAAAAAATCGAATAACCGACAAATTTTCTATAAATAATTCGAATAACCGAAAAATTTTCTATAGAAAATTCGAATAATCGAAAAATTTTCTATAGAAAATTCGAATAATCGAAAAATTTTCTATAGAAAATTCGAATAATCGAAAAATTTTCTATAGAAAATTCGAATAATCGAAAAATTTTCTATAGAAAATTGGAATAATCGTAAAATTTTCTATAGTAAATTCGATTAATCGCAAAATTTTCTATAGTAAATTCGATTAATCGCAAAATTTTCTATAGAAAATTCGATTAATCGCAAAATTTTCTATAGAAAATTCGAATAATCGTAAAATTTTCTGTAGAAAATTCAAATAATAGAAAAATGTTCTATAGATAATACGAATAATCGGAAAATTTTTTTATGGAAATTACGAATAATCGAAATAAAACGTTCTAATAATCGAAGTTATTCTATGGAAAAATCTGTAAAAAATTCGAAATCGAAAAGATTTCTATGGCAAATGGAAATATAAAACAATTTCATTTTTCAAATTGGACAAAGCTTAATTTTCGAAATTCGACGGATAGTAAAATTATAATAAATTTTGTTTTTATTTTCATAAAATTCACCTGAATTAATTGTCGCATTAGCTTTTTAAAATAGTGATAACAACACACCTCTCTCTCAAGATGAAGAGAGATAAAGTTTAGACATTAAACAAATAAACAAAATTTTGGACGTCATTTGGTGTATATTCAGTTTCTAATTAAACAAAAGACCTGCCTTAACATTATATAAAATCTGCAGGTAAAAATTTTTATTATGACTAATGTAAAAAACTCTTCCGAATATAAAAAAAGTGATATACTTTAAAAATCTTTGTGTCATAATTATGGGCTTTTACGTAAAGTTGCAGTTAAATTCTAATAATTTCCGTTTATTTAGGGTAAATGATATAAATATTAAAAAAACTTTCAAATTCTTTATGAAATATTGTTATTATAAATATTTCTTTTCCTAAATACCTAAAGTGATCATAATTATTAATTTAATGAAAGTGTCATTGGCGAGTGGGCAAAAAAAAAAAAAATATTATCAGTTTAAACGTAATAAATATTTTAAGGTAGACTGTTTTTATAAAAATCATGAATTTTTCATAGAATAACGTGTGACGTAAACTTTACGCATTATAGAGACATATTTTGTTATTCATTTAATACAAAAGGGAAGAGGAAATATTAAAATTGTTGGTTTTATCATATTAAAAGAGAATGCTTACTGGTCACTTGTAGTTTTATTGATGAGTATTATGGACTTTGTCATAGACATTATTAATCATAGGGAAATTTGGTTGAAATTTATGTGTATAACTTGTAATTGTTATTTTAAATTAACTTGATTGATTTAATTGAGTGTAGAAATATTAGAATATTTTTTAAGAGAAAATAGGTTTTTAAATGATATAATGATAGGTCCCGCTGTAATAAGTGGTCAAACGGAGGACAATAACAGATAAGATAGTTTCTTCTTCATCATTCCAGATTTAGCTGAGTTCCAGTTTAATTCCAGTTCTAGTTTAGTTGTGATTCAGTTCCAGTTCCAGTTCAGTTCTAGTTCAGTTTTAGTTCAGTTCTAGTTCAGTTCTAGTTCAGTTCTAGTTCAGTTCTAGTTCAGTTCTAGTTCTGTTCAAGTTCTGTTCTAGTTCAGTTCTGGTTCAGTTCTAGTTCAGTTGTAGTTCAGTTCCTGTTCTGTTCAAGTTCAGTTGTAGTTTAGTTGTAGTTCAGTTCTAGTTCAGTTTTAGTTCAGTTTTAGTTCAGTTTTAGTTTAGTTCTAGTTCAGTTGTGGTTCAGTTCTAGTTCCAGTTCAGTTCTAGTTCAGATCTAGTTCAGTTCTAGTTCAGTTCTAGTTCAGTTCTAGTTCAGTTCTAGTTCAGTACTAGTTCAGTTCTAGTTCAGTTCTAGTTCAGTTCTAATTCAGTTGTAGTTCAGTTCTAGTTCAGTTCTAGTTCAGTTCTAATTCAGTTCTAATTCAGTTGTAGTTCAGTTCTAGTTCAGTACTAGTTCAGTTCTAGTTCAGTTCTAGTTCAGTTGTAGTTCAGTTCTAGTTCAGTACTAGTTCAGTTCTAGTTCAGTTCTAGTTCAGTTCTAGTTCAGTTCTAGTTCAGTTCTAGTTCAGTTCTAGTTCAGTTTTAGTTCAGTTCTAGTTCAGTTCTAGTTCAGTTCTAATTCAGTTGTAGTTCAGTTCTAGTTCACTTCTAGTTCAGTTCTAGTTCAGTTCTAGTTCAGTTCTAGTTCAGTTCTAGTTCAGTTCTAGTTCAGTTCTAGTTCAGTTCTAGTTCAGTTCTAGTTCAGTTCTAGTTCAGTTCTAGTTCAGTTCTAGTTCAGTTCTAGTTCAGTTCTAGTTCAGTTCTAGTTCAGTTTTAGTTCAGTTCTAGTTCAGTTCTAGTTCAGTTCTAATTCAGTTGTAGTTCAGTTCTAGTTCACTTCTAGTTCAGTTCTAGTTCAGTTCTAGTTCAGTTCTAGTTCAGTTCTAGTTCAGTTCTAGTTCAGTTCTAGTTCAGTTCTAGTTCAGTTCTAATTCAGTTGTAGTTCAGTTGTAGTTCAGTTGTAGTTCAGTTGTAGTTCAGTTGTAGTTCAGTTGTAGTTCAGTTCTAGTTCAGTTCTAGTTCAGTTTTAGTTCAGTTCTAGTTCTAGTTCAGTTCTAGTTCAGTTCTAGTTCAGTTCTAATTCAGTTGTAGTTCAGTTCTAGTTCAGTTCTAGTTCAGTTCTAGTTCAGTTTTAGTTCAGTTCTAGTTCAGTTCTAGTTCAGTTTTAGTTCAGTTCTAGTTCAGTTCTAGTTCAGTTCTAGTTCAGTTCTAGTTCAGTTCTAGTTCAGTTCTAGTTCAGTTCTAATTCAGTTGTAGTTCAGTTGTAGTTCAGTTCTAGTTCAGTTTTAGTTCAGTTCTAGTTCAGTTCTAGTTCAGTTCTAGTTCAGTTCTAGTTCAGTTCTAGTTCAGTTCTAGTTCAGTTCTAGTTCAGTTCTAGTTCAGTTCTAGTTCAGTTCTAGTTCATTTCTAGTTCAGTTCTAGTTCAGTTCTAGTTCTAGTTCAGTTCTAGTTCAGTTCTAGTTCAGTTCTAGTTCAGTTCTAGTTCAGTTCTAGTTCAGTTCTAGTTCAGTTCTAGTTCAGTTCTAGTTCAGTTCTAGTTCAGTTTTAGTTCAGTTCTAGTTCAGCTTTAGATCAAATCTAGTTTAGTTCCAGGTCAGTTGAATTCCAATTCATTTCAAATTTAGTTCAGTTCCAGGTTAATTTTAAATCAGTTCTAGTTCTTGATCAACATGAACGTTAAAGTACATTATATTTATTTCATCTGCATTCAATTAATAAATAATTAAACATTAATTGATATTTAAATTTCCCCAAAAAATTATTCCTAAATTCACTATATTTATAATCAATGTTTCCAAGTGCAGATAATATCACAAAAATGTTGATTATGAAATTCCTATTAACTTTATCAATACTTTAAGAGAATAGTATGCCCTTAAGTTTCCACTTGCAAATTTCCCATCAAAACCTGTGACAATCAATCATCTTGTGAAAAACAAACACCCAACTAAACACATAATTTTGAAATAACTATAAAATCATAAATATGTTCATATTTATAAATTTCATAAATTGCTCATTTTACAATAATCATATAATTGATCACCATCCCTCCGATAATTATGAAAGTGTAAGAGTGTATGAAAAATGTGAACATCTTAGATATAAAAAAAAGTGACTGCAATCTGCTGCGTATTTTATAGACATTTGGCATGTTTTGAGTGGGTGATATTTTCAATATAGATAAGACGCCAATAAATTGTACTTTGCTTTTTTTGAACAAAAATCAAATCCTTATAAGGAATGATAAGTTATCGTCTACAACAATTGGCCCACTTATAGAAAATAGTTTAGGTTTAATGCCATACATATGTAGGTAAGTAAACAATTGTTTTGTTTGAACTTGTCACACTTCAAAGGCATCAAAAGAAAATAATTTCACAATGTTTAATTACGTAAAGTATTTGTTAAGGATTAAATTGTTTAATTAGAATAATATGTAATTTCAAAATAGATCACATGAACATAAAATATTAGATTGTTAGAAGACTGCAGCGTAATCTACACTTGAAAGTTTCAAGAATTCGATTAAAGTAAAATAAATAACGTAAAATTTTTGGATTTAATTTTAAATTTTAAACAACATTTTCAATTTCGTATTATTTTTGAAAATTTCGAATTTAATTTCGAAAAGTAAAAAGTTTTCCAAGTTAAATAAATGTTTATGGACTATTGACTTGTTTATAGACTATTCAATGGACTTGTTTATGGACTAGTCAATGAACTAGTCTATGAACTAGACTACGGACTACTGTCTATATACTAGTCTATGGACTAGTGAATTGACTAGTCTATGGCCCAGTCAATGGACTAGTCTCTGGACTAGTGTATGGACTAGTCTCTGGCCCAGTCAATGGACTAGTCTATGGACTAGTGTATGAGCTAGTCAACGGTCTAGTCTATGTCTACTATGGACTAGTCTATTGACTAATCAACTGAATAGTCAATGGACTGGGCAATGGACTAGTATATAAAATAGTCTATTGACTACTCCATAGACTAGTGAATAAAGTAGTCAATGGACTAGTCTATGGTCTAGTCAATTGACTAGTCTATGAACTAATCAACGCACTAGTCAATGGACTAGTCTATGGACCAGTCAATGTACTATTCTATGGACCAGTCTATGGCCTAGTCAATGGATTAGTCTATGGACTAGTACATAGAATATTCATAGACTAGTCCATTGATTAGTACATAGACTAGTCCATTGACTGGTCCATAAATAGTCCATTGACTACTCCATAGACTAGTAAATAAAATAGTTCATTGAATAGTCTATGAACTAGTCTACAGACTAGTCAATAGAATAGTCCATTGAATAGACTGGTTCATAGACTAGTTCATCGACTAGTCCATAGCCTAGTTCATTGACGAGTACATCGACTAGTCCATTGATTAGTACATAGACTAGTCCATAGACTAGTCCATAAACTAATCCATAGACTACACATAGACTAGTCCATTGACTAGTTCCTAGACAAGTCCATTGACCGGTCCATAGACTAGTCCATTGACGAGTCCATAGACTAGTACATAGACTAGTGCGTTGACTAGTTCATAGACTAGCCCATAGACTAGTTCATTGACTAGTCCATTGACTAGTCTAGTGACTAGTTCATAGTCTAGTCTATAGACTATTCAATGGACTATTTGATTTACTAGTCTATGGATTAGTCAATGGACTATTTAATATACCAGTCAATGGTCTATTCTATGGACTACACATAGACTAGTCCATTGACTAGTTCCTAGACTAGTCCATTGACTAGTCCATTGACGAGTCCATAGACTAGTCCATTGACGAGTCCATAGACTAGTCCATTGACTAGGTCATAGACTAGTCCGTTGACTAGTTCATAGACTAGCCCATAGACTAGTCCATTGAATAGTCTAGTGACTAGTTCATAGTCTAGTCCATAGACTATTCAATGGACTATTTGATTTACTAGTCTATGGATTAGTCAATGGACTATTTAATAGACTAGTCAATGGACTATTCTATGAACTACTCAATGGACTAGTCAATGATGTAGTCTATGTGGATTAGTCTATAAACTAGTCTGCGGACTAGTCTATGGACTATTCAATGGACTAGTCTGTGGACTAGTCAATGGACTAGTCTATGGACTAATCTATTATCTGGTATATTAACTACTCTTTGGACTAGTTTATGAACAGGTTATAATGTCATCTATTGTCCAATATATGGACTACTTAAAAACATTTAATAATATATAAAAAAGTACATAATATGTTACGGAGGTACTACGGTACTATTCAAAATGTCAAAAAGTACTGAAAAAAGTACGCAATAATACTGAATATTCCATGCCTGATACAATTAATGCCTTTAGCCAACAGGTGAGTCATTCGGAGACACACTTAAGCTAAATTAATTGTATAACTGGTAGAATATGAATTATATTTTTAACTTTTTTCAAACAAAATTACCATTCAATTAGGAATTTTTAACACAAAAATTCCGAAAACTTTACCTTTATTTCAAAAAATTAACAAAAAATATCTAATACAACTGACTATGCAATTTTAATTAATAAATTGGACAAACTTGTATATAGATGATAAAAATCTCGTGCATGTTAAGAATGTCACGCATTTATAATCTGCTATATTTAGTGATTGAAAAAAAAAAAAAAAAAAAAAACAAATCTATAGCAATAACTGATAATTATAGACGTGTGACTGGAAAAGTGTTAAAACAAAAACAACAGCAATAAATTGATAATATAAAAATTAAAGCAGCAGAAGTTATGAATCTTACAAAGGCGCTAAAAGAAGCAAACATTTTTGTCTTGAACTAAAGATAAGAAATATATTTATGACGAAAATAACTTTAACCATAGACTATGTATAAATGATGAGCAAATACTAGAAAGCAGGGTGCTTCCCACTAAAAATAACATTTAAAAATTATATATTAATTACCAATAAGTTAATGTTTAAGCAATATTTTATTTAATTGTTCTTTTTTAATGAAAAGAAAAATTATTGTGCCATAATTTTAACAAGTATTTTGCATTAAATTTAATCAAAATTTTTAAGATTGAGTCATTATAAAGGAATTTCTTTAAATAGAAAGAAATATTTGAACATTTTTTCCACAATTAAAGCTACTAGGGAGGTAAAACTTGAAAATAGAGAACATTAAAGCAGAAGCAGGAGGAGGTGTGTTTAATGGGAGTTGGAGACATTGATAGAGAGTCCAAAATAGTTAAATATTGATAAAGAAAATGAGCAGTTATAATGATTAAAACACGAGTGTCTAATATAAGAAACGATAAGCTTTCGTTTTTAGTAAAAGAAAAAAAGTTAGAAAATCGTTTTTCCTCGTGTTAGTGGTTAAAAAAAAGAGAGTAAAATTTTGAACACAATTTAGTTATAAATACCACACTCTTTTTTAAAAGGTAAGTTAATTTAAAACAAGACAAGTTACAAGAAACATTGAAAGAACTGAAAAAAAGTGCTAGAAAATTTGAATAAAAAAAAAAGACAATTTTCTTTTAATTATAACTTTATGATATTAATAAAAACTAAACAAAACGGATTTATTAACGTGTACAACGTGTTTAAACGTTATAGAAGAAGAAGAAATTATGACTACTTGTGTCCATTATATTTATGTACTTTTAATAACAACAATATTACCAATGGTGATCGTAGCAAGCAATTCACAACTACTGCCGTTAAGAAAAGGAGGCGGCGGCATTGCAGGAAGAGCAGGTGGTGGTTTGCGTATACAAGGATTAGCAGCCATCGCCAATCAACAACGTTTAGCTTATGGTTTTTTGGAAAATCGTATAGCTTCACTGGAAACACAACAAACTTTGTGGAGTAAAAAGTTTTTGGCCAAGCGTGAAGCAGAACCTCACTCAGCACCCTATGTGGTGTCTATACAACTAATGACTCCCGAGGAGGGTCTAGTGCACTATTGTGCGGGTACTGTTATAAATGAACATTGGATTTTAACTGCAGCCCATTGTCTAACCAATCCTCAAATGGTGGCTAATTCGGTAATAGTGGCCGGTTGTCATGACATTCATTCACGCAGTGAATCTCATAATGTACAACTACGTCATATAGACTATTATGTGCGGCATGAATTATATCTGGGTGGTGTTAATCCTTATGATATTGCTCTTATCTATACCAAAGAACCCTTGGTATTTGATCAGTATGTACAGCCGGTAAATTTACCCCAACAAGATGTCGTACCCGAAGGTTATGGTACTCTTTATGGTTGGGGTAATGTTTCAATGACTATAGTTCCTAAATTTCCTCATAAATTACAACAGGCTAATATGCCCATTTTAGATTTGGAATTATGTGAAGAAGTATTGGCTGCTTCGGGTATGCAATTGCATGAAACAAATTTATGTACTGGTCCCTTAACAGGAGGTGTTAGTATATGTACAGCAGATTCTGGAGGTCCTTTAATACAGACGGAATATGATATGTATGGTCGTGAACAACAGACTATTATTGGTATAGTATCCTGGGGTAAAATGCCCTGTGGACAAAAAAATGCTCCCTCAGTATTTGTTAGGGTATCAGCTTTTACCCAGTGGATACAACAAATCATCTCTACAGCAACTCAATTTGAATAAAAGTGAAAATTAATAAAAAACAAAATCCTCAAAAAACCAAAAACTCGAATTAAAACTTAAAATTAAAGAAAACTAACTGTATAAACTCCAGAAATCTCATTAGTTTGTAAGTTCTATTTATATATAAGAAAAAAACTCTTAAAAAGCAAAACTAAATCTCAAAAAAATTGTATATTTATTTAATAAAATGTATTTATATTGAAATTTTATAAAAAGAAAAGAAAATCCCAGAATTTTTTATTTAAAATAAATATTGGTTTAAGGTAAGTTAAATATAACTAAATATAACTATTATGGTGAAATTTCTTAAAGAAATTACTCATTCCTATCACTGCTAGACGACTACAGCAACAACAGCTAATATCAGTACTCAAACGTTTACCGCAATCTTCTCAATATAACGTGGATTTCCAAAGAAATAAAAGAAAGAAAAAAGTACCTCAAAATTTTTTTGTCATATTAAAGGTACAAAGTCTAAACTTTCAAAAAACTTTATCTTTTCAACTGCTACATATTTTGATTAAAACAAGTGCTAACATCATATTTGACATATTCACAGATGTTAAGCAAAATGTCTAAAACACATTTGTTGCCAATATAATTAATGAGCAAGTGAGGAGAAGGAAGCAATTATTAAGTAAGTATTTAAGAAATAAAATTTAATTTGGCGTAGAATAAATAAACATTATCTTCAAAACGTGGGAAAATTTATTATAAATGTTTCATTATCATGACAAGGAAGATTCCTAACTGTCATTTGGTGGTTCGCTTTTGGTTGAAACGAGATTCTCCTCGGCGTCAGGATAAAATAGTGTTGTAAAACTTAGAGGAGAATCTTCTGACACTGACTGACATGACATTCAAGCCAGGATGGTAGATCACAATGATTTAGGAGGAAATAATAGAACTGACGGGGGAAACTACGAAAGGCTAATAAAGATGAATGCTAGGGCTTTCAGGGACAGTGAAGTATGAGAAAGTTATAACACAGGCAATACATTAGAGGAGAAACTTCTGACACAGACTGACATGTCATTTAAGCCAGGATCATAGATCACAATGTAAAAATGTTTAAGGACAGTGATGTGGACGAGATTGTGGAAGTGTCGAAAGACTCGTTGCAGAAAACATACTATACTTTGAAATTTAGGGGAATCTCTCTACGTAACGATGTAATTAAGCAAGAATGTGGGTATAACATAAAAATCTGTTCCATTAAAACACTGCGAGAGCGATCCTTCTGTACTTGCAGGTACAAAATAAATACATTTAAAACTGAAGACAAAGATGTAGGAGAAGCTAATAGAACTGACGGGGGAAAGGACTGAAGGCTAATAAAGAGGAATGCTACGACTTTCTTATAACACAGACAATACCTTAGAGGAGAATGTTATGATACTCACCAACATGAAATACAAGCCAGGATCCTAGAGCATGAAGGAAAAATGTTTAAGGACAATGTAACGGACGTGATTTGTGGGAGTGTCGGAAGAATCCTTTGCAGAAAACATGCTCTACTTTGAAATTTAAGGGGATCTTTCTATGTAACGATGTAATTAAGCATGAATGTGGGTATAAAATAAAAATCGAAGTTGGTAGCTGTTCCATTAAAACACTGCGAGAGCGTACCTTCTGTACTTGCAGTTACAAAATAAATACATTTAAAACTGAAGACAAAGCTAATAGAACTGACGGGGGAAACGACTGAAGGCTAATAAAGAGGAATGCTACGGCTTTCAGGGACAGTGAAGGATTGGAAAGTTTTAACACAGTCAATATCTTAGAGGAGAATCTGTTGACACTGACTGACATGATATTCAAGCCAGTGCTGAGAACGAGATTGAGGAAGACTCCTTGGGAGGAAACTTGCGATATTTAGAAGTTTAGGGAGATGTCTCGGTCTAACGATGTAATTAAGCGAATGTGGGTTTAAAATGAAAAAAAAAAAAAACTAGTCGAAGTAAATTTCAAATTTTCAAAAATTTAATATAAAATTAAACAAAAAATAATTTGGAATTTCCAAAAATTCAATTTCGAACCAAATTTAGCATAAACTCATGATTTTCTAAGATATTTAATCTTTTCGAATTTTCGAAAATTTACTTAAAATATTAAAAATTTCAACATTTTAAATAATTTCGAGCTTAAATTCGAAAATATAACTTAGAATTTTTTAAAAATTTACTTAAATCTATCAAATTTAGCAAAAATCGACGGTTTTTCAATATTTAGACATTTTTGAAATTAATTTCGAATTTTCGAAAATGATAAATTTACTTAAAATAAATCAAATTTAGCAAAAATCTATGGTTTTTCAATATTTAGAAAATTTTTTTGAAAATGTTTCTTAGAATCGAGAAAATTTAGTAAAAATGTATAATTTTCAAAGATATCTAAAATTTTCAAAATAAATTTCGAATTTTCGAAAAAGAGAAATACATATACTTAAAATCTAGCAAATTTAGCAAAAATGTATGATTTTCGACAAAATTTTACATTTTCGAAGTTAATTTCGAAAATGAAAAATTCACTTAAAATTAAGGAAATTTAGAAAACTATTTTCGAAAATGAAAACATTTACTTAAAATCTAGCAAATTTAGCAAAAATTTATAAATTTCAAAGATAATTAACATTTTCGAAGAAAATTTCGAATTTTCGAAAATGAAAAATTTACTTAAAATCGAGCAAATTTAGCAAAAATTTATGATATTTAACATTTCGAAGTTAATTTCGAATTTTCGAAAATAAAAAATTTACATGAAATCAAGCAAATTTGACAAAAATGTATGAATATCAAAGACAGTAACCATTTTAGAAGTTAATTTGTTTTGTTTTTATCTAAATTTCGAAATTTTTAGCTTTTCAACTCATAACTTTTCAATTTAAGTTTTAGCTGGGTAATTTCGAATTTTCGAAAAAGTGGAAATTTACTTAAATTTATGAATTTTAAAGTTAATTGACATTTTCGAAAGTAAGAAATTTACTTAAAATCCAACAAATTTAGCAAAAAGTTTTGGCCCAAAACAATGATTTTAATTTGAAAATTAAAATTTAATATTTTAGTAAAAAAATTTTGTTAAAAAAAATTCAAATTTTCAAAAATGAAAAATTTTACTAAAATTAATAAGATTTAGGAAAAATTTATGTTTTTATAAATTTTCGAAATTAATTTCGAATTTTTGGAAAACTTTACATTTTGTACTTTAAGCAAAAATTTAGTTTAAAAAAAAATTTAATTAAAAAACTTAAAATAGAAATTTTTTTAAAATAAGAACAAAATTAATTTATCATTAAAATAACAACATAATTATCTAATATATAAATTAATTTCTAGGAACTGAGATAATTTGAAAAACAAACTTAAATTTAAATATAATTTTTGCAAATTAATAATTAAATTTAATTGTAAAACTCCTGGTATTACGTTGTTACTAAATTATATTTGTAAAATGACAAATTTTTATCTTATCTTAATCTCAAATAATAATTACAATAATACACACCAACATCCTTACACACGTGCATTAGTGTAGGGGATTAGAACAAAAGAATAAAGCATGAGTGAACACTACAAATGGCCCAGACATTATTGGAAACTGAAGTGAAATGAAATTTGCAATTTATTGTGTAAAGTAAGTATGATTTTGTTAAATTAAATATTTATTTTGATTAGATAAGTTGTTGTTTTAGTTATAGCAAATAGAAAAGACGTCGAATAAAATTCGTATGTTTATTTAGTTTAACACATTAAATTGTTATTTAATAGAAATAAAAAAAGAATTTAATCTTTTTCAATGCAATTGGCTATTATCAAGGTACAACCATACATATTGCGAATATTTATGACCTTTTAATGATTATTAAAGGGGATTATAGGTCGTGTGATATTGTTTAAGAGTTTTATGAGAACACAAGCAAGAAGAGTGCTGCTTGTGTTATAAGTAGATTAGATTGTATTTAAATTTGTTTGAAACACCTTTGGATTGATTGTTTTATTCACTAAATTAATACATATTTCAAAGTAGTCTGCTTTAGAAACCGATCCATTTTAAAGAATTCAACTTGACCTAGGCCTCCCATAACAACCACTCTCCTGTGATTAGACTATGTATGTACTTTTTTAAGAAACAAAGAATTTTATCTTAAGTTGCCTCTAAAATTTTCTAAGAATCAATGGCGCAATAAAGACGTAAGTTTCTATATTGTGTATTTTGCGTATTTATTTTTAGTTAAAAAGACATGTTTACAATTTGTGAAATTTTACATTGCTACTGCTAAATTAAAACAAACAATTACTATTATAAAAAATTAAAGAGAGAAGTAGACAAAATGCTAAATAAATATTTGTTTTATCAATAAAAAGAAGCAATCATATCATAAATACAACAAGAATGACTTTGTAGAAAGTGGTCTAAATAAGAATATTTAGTTAAGAAATTAAATTATTGTGAAATTTTCTAATATTAGAATAGAGGGGTAACTTGTTTTTTGAAGATTTTCGAAATTAATTTCGAATTTTCGAAAATGAGATATTTTTCTAAAATCAAGCCAATTTAGAAATAATATTTGTTTTTAAGTTATTTAAATTAAAAGTTTTTGAAAAACAAGAAATTTTTAGGCCAAAAAAATTTTCGAAGTTAATTTCGAAAATTAAAAAATTGCTTAAAATCAAACAAATTTACTTAAAATTTATGATTTTTCTAAGATATTAAACAATTTCGAAATAAATTTCATATTTTTGAAATGAAAATATGTTCAAAATTTTGCGAAAATATGAAATTTATTTAAAATCAAGCAAATTTAGTAAAAATTTATGATTTTCAAAAATATTTTAAATTTTCGGAAATTAAAATCAAGCAATTTTAACAACATTATATGATTTTCAAAAACATTTAAATTGCAAATTTTTTATAAAAATTAAAAATATTTTTGAAGTTAATTTCGAAAATGAGAAATGAATGTAAAATCAAGCAAATTTAGCAAAAATTGTATGATTTCGAAACGTATTTAATGTTTTCGAAATTAATTTCGAATTTTCGAAAATGACAAATTTTATAAAAAATCGAAAAAATGAAAAATTTGAAAATTTTTAAGATTTTATAATTTATTTCCCATTATTTTATTACTTTTAGGTTCGAGAAATCGAGAACCCCAAATGCAGATAGATACCTTTAATATTAGAAAATTATTTTTGAAGCGGTTTATGTTCGATCTATTTTTGATCTTGATTGCCTGGAAGTTTTTAAAAGATCAGATATTTGGTCCCTATACCTACAAGAAATGCATGAGCGAAACTAACAGATAAAATCCTACAAGAATAGAGGACCGCAATTCGACCAAGAGTCAATGCATTTGAAAATTATAGTTATTTCCACTAGCGTCTTACCACCTGTTTGGCTCTAATTTGTCTTTCTGCCCAAAAGTACTCTTAATAAACGAGAGAGAAGACTGTCGTCACTTCAGTACACTTCTGTAAGCCAGAGCGGAGATAGTCTTCGAAATTCAAAACTTTATTGAAGTTGGAACATAATGCAATTTATACCGGACTAAAATCTAGTAACCCCAGATGCAGCGCAGTCCAAAATTAACTACTATTATGAACCATACAAAATACATTTATTGAAATGTCTTCAATAGGGATACTAATTTGGGTGGTATAGTCCCATAAAAAGAAAATGGTGGCCCTGATTTCCTAGAACCCATTGTCAACTGATCAATCTCAAAATGGACCATGTGCTGACGAAAACAGCACACCTTGCAGTTGGATTCTACAATTCGGCCAATGCTGGCTGCATTAAAAAATTTCTCAAGAAGACCATGAAACAGAAAAAATTAACAAAATCTCTTTAAATAGAACATATAATAAGTCCATTTAAATATAAAAACATAATAATAAACAATTCTTCTCACGATTTTCAACTCCTTTCGAAAACAGTTTAAAAATACCTATTGTTTTTGTTATTGTTATTCAAAGTAAATGTTAATGATATTTGTACAACCTTGTTTGACTTTAAATAAACATAAAACGTCACAAAACAACTGCACTTAAACCCTCCACAAAAATCGGGGGGTTTAAAAACAATTTATTTATTATTGTCTCCTTCAGCTGAAAAACCACATCGCAAAACAATTTTTTGCACAAACACACAAACTTAGGTCTACTCATGCACATACACACACCCTCCCAAAACAAAAAAGAACGAAATGGATGTTTCATACAAATGCAAACATTTGCACACTCCTATATAAAGCGCGCTAGTACTTTCACAATTAAATTTTATCTTCGCATAATAATAAAATTACTTTTTCTTTCTTTGTAATATACAAAATACGAAAAGAAAACAAATTTTCCATACCTTCTTTCTTAGTTTCCCCCGAATATGACACAGACGTTTGACACCATCAAAGCACATTGCCTCCAGACGGCCATTTCCCAACATTTTTGTAACTTGTGCATATTCTTGCTGATCTTCTTTGAAAATCAATTCACGTTTCTCGAATTCATTTTCGTTCTTACCACGACGACGATTTTTGCCACCTTTTCCCTTATTTTTAGGCATTGTGTTTGCGGTTTATTGAGGTTTCTTGCAACAATTAACGAATCTATGCACACAATTTTATGAAATTAAATAAAATTTATTAATTTTTTATAGCGAATTTAAATATTTTTAATTAAATTTTCACTTACGAAAAAATGCCTGATGAACTTTATTTTTTCAGTTCTGTGACAGAAAAGAGAGAGGACAATATAATTTACAAAGGCTATAAAATGTCAAAAGTGTTGCACATTTAAAAGCTGTTAGAAGAAAAGAGATGGCTATAGTTGATAAAATTTGTCATGCTGGTAATGATAAAATAAAAAAATTGCACAAGGTAGCAAGAGAGCATTGCCAGCATAGATTTATTTATAAAAATAAACTTGGCAGCACTTAGTAAATTGACATTTGCTATGTTTAACACACATAACCTTAATTTTTAAACTTATTTTAGGGAACTAGGCAATAAATTGCAAATATATAAAAGAAAATGCCTCCTAAAAAGGATAATAAAGGCAAAGACAATAAAGGTGCTGCTGGTGGCAAAAAAGGAGGAGGAGCTGCTGAAGAAAAAGGTGAGGTTTTATACTATATGTGAAAATGTTTAGAGATAATCAAATTTCGTTTTGTTTACATTTGTTAGGCAAAGAAAAGAAAGGTGGTAATGCTGTTAAGGTAAGACATATTTTGTGTGAAAAACAAGGCAAAATAATGGAGGCCATGGAGAAACTAAAAGCCGGTCAAAAGTTCCCTGAGGTAGCTGCCGCCTACAGTGAAGATAAAGCACGTTCCGGTGGTGACTTGGGCTGGCAAATACGTGGCGCTATGGTAGGTCCCTTCCAAGATGCTGCCTTTGCTTTGCCTATTTCAACAGTCAACAATCCTGTATACACTGATCCACCAATTAAAACTAAGTTTGGCTACCATATTATAATGGTAGAAGGCAAGAAATAGGAAATTAATTATTCATCCCTTGCTAAAAAATTACTAAAAATTTGTTGGAAACTGAAAAATGATAAGAAGATAAAGGGTTATAATATAATAAATCGTGAAACTCTTTTTGTGAAGATTACTATGCTTAATGAGGATGTTAAGTCTCTCAATTTTCACGAATGTATTAGCTATTTTAAACTAAATTACCAATAAGTATACCTAAACACCTATATCTTAATCTATTTACTGTATTTTTCCTTTTGTAATGTAAAATACCGTAAGCTTATATTTTTTATTTTTTATATTAAGATGGCTCTTTTCATATTGAAAATGTTTAAAATTACAAATAACTTTTTATATATCACTTTTTGGCTCCCACTAATATATGTGTATTGTCGTGAATGCGATGTCTCTTAATGGTAATCTTGGTCCTATAGCCGGGGATAAATCAATGTTAAACAAATGCCTTTCATCTTCGTCTGAAGTTATGAATATTGGTCATATTAATGCCCAGAGTCTTTGCCCCTCTGCATCCAGCACAAAATTAGATGAATTTAAATGTTTTTTCTACAATAGTCTTCTTGACATCATTGGAGTTTCAGAAACTTGGTTTAAACCTCACTTAATATCCCAATCGTTGACACTTTCCGGTTATAATCTTGTAAGAAATGATCGTATCAGGAATACTACTTCGAATAATAGTGGCCCAACCAGAGGTGGCGGCGTTTGCCTTTACATATCTAATAAACTTCGTTACCGCATACTCTTTCGTGCTGAACAATATGGAGTTTGTGAGTCTTTATTTGTCGAAGTTTTTGGAAATGGAACCTCTGTAATTGTTGGTGTTGTATATTTACCCGGCGGCGACATTAATGCATTTGAAAGTATCCATAATAACTTATTTGATCAATACAATAATATTATTGTTATGGGAGATTTTAACCATAATCTTTTTGATATTGTTAAATCACGCAATTTACGTTCTTTAATTTCTAGATGTGGCCTTCACTGTATACACAATTGCCTACCTACACATATTTTCCCACCTAATAATGCTACTTCTTTGCTAGACTACTTTCTCCTGAGTCAACCATCTTCTGTTGTTTACAAAAACCAGATACAAATTCCATTTTTTTCATCTTACCATAGTTTCATCTTTCTATGCATTAAATTTCCCTCTCAATTACGTAGTACCTGGATTGAATTTAAGGATTACAATCGCCTGAATTTTGAGAACATAAGTGAGTATTTTAGTCAATTTAATACATCTCCTATTTTCAATACTAACAATGTTGATCTTCAATTATCTACCTTAGATAGTTTAATTGAAGGACTTCATAATTTAGTACCAACGACAAAAATTTTATCTAATTCAAATAATTCTAAATGGATGAACTCGAGTGAAATTTTACAAACCAGATCAAAAAGAGATCACGCTTATCGTGCCTATCGTAGAAATCCTAATAGTGTAAATTGGTCTACTTACTGCAAATTACGTAATAAAACTAAATCTGTGATCAGAAAAGCACGTCGGAAATATGGTGAAACTTTGTTCAGTGTAACTGATAATAGTACATTATGGAATAGAATACGTAAAATGGGTATCGTTGATTCGAAAAAATCTGAATGCAATGATTTAGACGTGGAAGAAATAGCTAATGTTTTTTTGGACAATCTCAGGCAGGACAATACCGGAAACCTTGAATTTGACAACTTTGAAGACATTGCCAATTCGTTTTCTTTTATTCCTGTTACAGAATATGACATATTAATCGCTTTAAATTCAATTAAATCTAACTCTACAGGTCATGACAAAATTCCTATTAAATTTATAAAGATAATCTTTCCTCTCATTTCCCCTATACTTTTGTATCTTACAAACACTATTTTCACCTGTTCTAAGTTTCCAACCTCCTGGAAATTAGGCCGAGTCGTACCAATCCCAAAAAACGGAAAATTTGATAAAGAAAACTTACGACCCATAAGCATTTTACCTGCTATGTCCAAAATAATAGAAAATATAATGAAAAAGCAAATATTTGATTATTGTGCACAATATTCTTTAATCCACCCTAGTCAATTTGCATTCCAACGTAATCTCAACTCTACGTCTTTACTATTATCTCTCACCGAATCTATTAGAACCAAATTAGATAGCCAAAGAAATTGTACGTTAATTTCACTAGATCTCAGTAAAGCTTTTGATCGCATAAATCATGCCACTCTTGTAGATAAGCTCAGAAGATACTTTAATTTTTCAAAACCGGCATGTAAATTAATATACTCCTACCTTTCAGGACGGTCGCAGTACGTTTCCTTCAATGGTTATAACTCTAGTATTAGTAATGTAACTTCTGGCGTAGCTCAAGGGTCCGTACTGGGTCCCATATTTTTTCTCACATATTTAAATGACTGTATCTCGCTTTTTAATAACAGCTTTTGCCAATCCTTTATATTTGCTGATGATATATTTTTATTGTTTTCAGATAAGTACGACAATATGGAAAATTTTGAGATAAATTTGAATGTTCACCTTAACTCAATATCTAGTTGGATGTATACAAATAGTCTTGAGATAAATCCAACTAAGACAAAGGCCTTAAGTTTTAATTTAACTAACCGAACTTTTTCATTTCCAAGAATATCTATTAACGGACAGGCAATTTTATTTGTGGAATCTCTCAGATGCCTCGGTGTAATTATTGATTCTAAGTTAAATTTTAATGAACATATCAATTTAATTGCTAATAAAACTTGTCTTATTTTAAGAAGACTTTACTCGTTAAGAGCGTTTACTCCCAAACATGTAAGGAGCCGACTTGCCTTTTCACTTATCATGTCCCGAATTAACTATTGTCTCGAAGTTTTTTCAGCAACGTGGTCTTATAATCTTAATATTATTGAAGCAACTGTTCGAAAGGTAATTCGTTATGTATTTAATTTAAGAGCTCTAGAGCATGATCGTACTTCGATGCTCACTCCAGTATTCTTGAAATGTAGTTTTAATAATTATATTAATCTACGTATTTTACTTTATTTCTACAAGGTTATAAAATCCGGTAAACCAATATCACTTGTAAATCAATTTTCATTCATAAACTCAACACGAAATATTCAAATTTTTATTCCTCTGGGACATCTTTCTGTGTTTGATCGATCTTTTGTAAAAAGAATCCATCATACTTGGAGCTTACTACCCAACCATCTCAAACAATTTTCTTATTCTTCTCATACTTATAAGAAGAAACTCTTAGATTTTTTTAATGAAAATCAGTAGCATGATTAGACATTGTTTTTAACCTACATCAACCTTTGGTTATAGGATTATTATTATTATTTCTTGATATTTAATTTTTGACAATACATACATATATGGCTGGGGAGCCAAATCGACTTTTCTAGTATAGTTATCTGTCTCGCTCATGGTTATTTGTCACGGGCTTGTACAATAAATTTTTACTACAATATTTGTTCTACAAGCTCTGATAAATTCTTATGAATATGACAGTATATATATACCTATATATATATATATCTAATGATTACTGTATCTTATTTTGTATTTATATAAAATTAATTAATCTATTACATAGTTATTAATCTTACAATACATATTTTATTGGCCATGAAGGCTTTCTTTGTATTGATATTAATAAATAAATAAATAAAAATAAATAAAAAATATTTAATAAGAATCGCATTTTTTATAATTATTTAAATAAGATCTTAATTTTGTAATAAAGCACTAGAGGAAGAAGATTGTTTGAATTAAATAATTTTTTTTTAATATTTCAACTAAAATTGCTAAAAATCCATTGTAAACAAAAGTCAGCTGTTAGAAAAGTAAATAGGCAAGGTGAATTTATATAAGGTGACATTTGTAGCACAGATAATTATCAAATTGAGTACATTAAATGTCAAATTCATCTGTTAATCTTCATATGAAAATGAGGAAATCATTAATTTTTTGATTTGTCGAAACTAGCCACTGCTACCATCTTATAAAATCCCTCCTGAAAGTAAATTATTGCCCTATTGCCATTCTCTTCTGCCAGAAAGAGACCACTCTATATTATTCACATTCTGTCATGCTTTACTCAGTCGGCCATAATGCATGCTGTATGACTCAAAGTATATTTTGGTTATGATTGTGCTGTGTCTCTAAAAAAAAAGCAAATTTTGCAAGATTTTGATCATGGCTATAACAGCAAATAAAAAATTCTGGACTGAATTCATCGATATATATCACAGTCTACCCAGTCTATGGAATACCAAAGATGAAAACTATAATAACCGTGAAAGTCGTTCGTTGGCCTGGAATAAATTGGTGGAAAAACTGCGAGATGTTGAACCAGATGCCAATCAAGATTCTGTAAAACGTAAAATTAATACATTTCGTTCGAATTTCAATCGGGAAGTGAGAAAAATAAGACAAACACAAAAGGAACAGCCAGCGGAGGTATACAATCCCACACTATGGTATTTTGATCAATTATCTTTTCTGTTGAATCAGGAAAAATATAATAGTAATGGTGTGGCTATAGATGGCCACTATGACGAAGAAATGACATTGATGGTAAGAGTTAGTTTATTTTATTCAAACGAATTATTCATGCATGACGATTAACCTCAATCATTTCGGTAACCGTTATTAAATTTGAATGAAATTTTAAAATTTCAGGGTCTAACTGCCACCAAAAGCGAAATTATGGAAGAAAATGAAACTATGATGGGAGAATCTGTAAACCAAGAGGAAATATCATCTACGGCTAATGAACAAAATTGTAAATTTGATAAATTAAACAGTAGCAAGTCTAATACGCGTTCGTTAGTGAAAAGAAACCAACGGGAAAAAACATTAGAGCCGGTGTCGGTGCCGAAACCTATTATAGAGTTTACTCCTATTATTGAAGTAATACAACCAGAATCTTGCTCTGCTGTGCAAACCCCCTTGGTTATAAAAGATCAACAAAGTTTGGGCCTGCAAGAAAATCCCACTAAATTTTTAGAAAATTTGCCAGAAAAATCTAATGAATTAGAAAGCACTTCCCCTAGCTGTAGAAAATTACGCTCGAATTTACATAAAAAATCAAAATTACGTTTAAAATCTCAAGATCCCTACAATCGAACTATTGTTAGAAATAATATGTTATCTCCAATGCTAACAGATGAAGCTGCTATTTATGGACAATCATGGGCCTGTGGTTTCCGTAAATTAACTGCTCAACAAAAACTTTTTGCTAAAAAAGCTATAGATGAAATATTAATACTAGGACAACTAAATGTTTTAAAATTAAACACTATAACAATGAATACGAATTCATTGGAGGTACCAAGTGATGAAGGTTAATTTTGGGCGTTCTGTCTTAAATTATTATACAATAGTTTTTAATTTACAAACCAAAAATCTAATAAATAAGAAATTGTTTTGTTATAAACCAGTGAATGTAGAAAATTGAAATAAAATTAAGATTTTAATTGAAGAAAATTTTGTCCTTAATTTATTTAAATATATTTCAGAATATTGCTCTAACTAATACCTTCTTTAGAGGTATAAGTGAAGAATTGTTATTTAACTACTATTTGAAGGAAGCAATACTACTAATTTATTAAATGTGGTGTAAAGAACTTGGGTTAAAAGTTTTTCTCAGAAAACTTTTTTGTAACTACATATTATAATTTATTGAGAACAAATGTTAATTCTTTTTAAATAGTTCACTATCAATCACTTTGTGCACTATATGTTATAACTGTCACTACAAGCAAATATCACATAACGTCGTCAGATATCAAATATTTATTCGTTATAAAAAAAGTGTAAAGTTAACACTATTTTTTCTCCATTTTAAAGCTTTCTTACGCGATATTTTTAACATCATATGTAGATTCCTTTCGATAAAAAAAATAACAATTAAATTGTTTATTTCTTACCAGCATCTTCCTTTAAACCCACTGTGCGATTAAATACTATTTTATCCTTAGTAGTATCTGGATCTACGGAGAAGAAACCAATACGCTCAAATTGGAATTTATCATATACTTTGCAGTTCAACAGAGAACGATCAGCATACGATTGTAATACAGTTTTAGAGTCCTCTCTAATGTCGGATAAAAATCCAGCTGGAACTTCATTAGGATCTTCGGGATTTTTATGTTTGAATAGCAATTCATACAAACGTACTTCGATTTGTACAGGCTGCGACACCCATTGAATAAAGGCCTTAGGTTTTTCAGCAGAATCAGTAGACTGGCATTCGCATACGAGTTCGGTAACATGGCCGGCAGCATCTTTTTTAACATCTTTGAGCGTTAAAACAAGATTAGCATGTCTTAAGCCAACACTTTGGCCAGGAGCCAAACGACGATAGCCTTTTTCAGGTTGTTCCTTAAAGTCACTTTGTTCTATATATACCACACGATCTAAAGTAATCTTATGTGTACCCAATTCAGGATTTTGTGGGAAATTAGGTACTTCAATTTCTACCGGACCACTATGAGGATAATTTTCAAGGGTGATTTTCAAAGGTTCCAATACCACCAATCTACGAGGTGCAGTGACATTAAGAACATCTCTGACGGCAGCTTCCAACATAGAAGGATCTACAGAAATTTGTGCACCGGTAACACCCATTTGAGCACAGAAATTGTTAATTGCCTCAGCAGGGAAACCACGTCTTCTTAAAGCGGTCAAGGTAAACAAACGAGGATCATCCCAATCATTGACAATTTTCTCAGTAATCAATTTAGCAATTTTACGTTTTGATACCAGAGCATAATTCATATTCAAACGACCATATTCCCATTGTACGGGACAGTAGATATCCAAGGCATTGCACAGCCAATAGTAGGAAGATCTTCTCGACTGAAACTCCTTGGTACACAAAGAATGTGTAATATTCTCCAAAGAATCACACAGACAGTGAGTGTAATCGTAGGTGGGATAAATACACCATTTGTTGCCGGTACGGTGATGTGGTATAAACTTAATACGATAAGCTACAGGATCCACTTTACCCTCTTCTAGGGTTACTTTCAATCTCAAAGTGGCGGCACCTTCATCAATTTTACCATTTTTCATATCTTCGAAAAGTTGTAAAGATTCCTCAATAGGACGATCACGCCATTGGCTGGGTTTGGGATTGAAACCCTTCATTTCATCGGCGGTCTGATGGCATACATAGGCTAAACCTTTGCGTATGAGAACAACAGCCCATTCATATAATTGTTGGAAATTATCCGAGGAGTGTGTAATCTTATAAGGTTTGTAGCCCAACCACTCTACCATGTCTCTAATGCCTACAAAGAACTTTTCCTCTTCCTTTTCGGGATTGGTATCATCATAACGTAAGTAACAGACACCATTGTGGGCAGCAGCATAACCAAAGTTGATGTTAATAGCCTTGGCATGACCAATATGTAAAATGCCATTGGGTTCTGGGGGGAAACGTGTTTGTACTCTTCCTCCCGTAGCTTTCAAATGTTCCTTAAGCAAACGTTCGGTATTGTCGGTGACTACATAGCCATCTGTTTTGTAATTTTCACCAGGAGCATGGAAATGTACTTTAGTTTTCATTAATTCCGCTATAGTCTGAGCGCCATCATTGCTAGCTTCTTCTTTTTTGTTATTGGTATCTTGTTTTTCAGACGGCTTGGCCTTTTCCTTTTTCTTGTCACCCTTAGCTAAGGGTTTCATATCCTCCTCTGTTTTGGGACCCAACAAATCGAAGATTTCCACATCTATAGCGGCCTTAACACTCTTAGCATCAGCCCACTTTAATAATTCTCTTACCTCTTGCATGATTTTGAAGGAGTTAAAATGATAACGTTGTTCCAGCAACGCATCCTTATACTTGGCCACCTGTTGCTGTACTACTTTCTCAATTTCCTCCGGAGTAACCACTACACCAACACCACACTCCTTTTCCAATTCTTGCAAATTAATAGCTTGTCCCTTTTTCTGCACCTGCTTGAGTAAATACTCCAGGGCAGCATCGACTCTCATAGTGGAATCCAATTTTTTCTCCACAATATAACGCACCAGCAAAGGTAAATGTTCGGCACTTTGTGGCTTAATTTTGGTAGCCATATGATACAATAGCATACCCACCCCCTCGCCTAGGGAAGCATCTTTGCAGTGATCCAAGGCCAATTGTAGATTTTTACTCACATTTGCATTTTTGGCCGTCTCTTTGGCTTTTTGTTCGCTCATGCCAAGAGCTTGAAATTTAACAACCAATTCTTCCGTCATTTTGCCACTAAACTAAATGGAAACATACTTGTTATGTGTGCTTAAGATAAGAATCATTATGGAAATACCTGTGTTTAAGTTGTAAATTGTGTAAATAATTGTTAAAATTACAAAAGAATTTTTCTGCTGATGAAATTTCTTTATTTCTACCTCCAGCAATAGAAAGCAACAACAACACAAGAGCCGCAATGTGGCCAATTAAAGTTGCCACTATTTTTTTCGATAGAACATCTGTTCAGCGATGACAAATTTGTTATACGTTGCCAACATTAAATAAGTTGTGCAAAAAAACAACAAGATATTGGCAATGCTAAAAATTTGAAACAGATTTATAGGTATTATAACGGTAAATACACAATTATAACAGTAAATACGCAATTTTTATTCAATTTATAGAGAAAATTTAAATGTAATTTGTTTATTCACTTCTTGTTTAAAAAATAAACAATTTACATTTATTTTTCCCCGTAAATTTAATAAATGTATATTATGTTATTTTTAACCATATTTAACTCACAGTTTAAAAAAATTTTTGATAATTTTGGGAAATGTAAAAGTAAATTGAAATTATGAAAAAATCGATGCTGGGGCATTGTAAAATTTACTTCTAAACAATTGATTGTCGTTTAGATTTTGCACGTCAAACTATAATTCTTTGGAAATTATAATTATCTATCTATCTAATCTATCTAATCTATCTATCTATCTATCTATCTATCTATCTATCTATCTATCTATCTATCTATCTATCTATCTATCTATCTATCTATCTATCTATCTATCTATCTATCTATCTATCTATCTATCTATCTATCTATCTATCTATCTATCTATCTATCTATCTATCTATCTATCTATCTATCTATCTATCTATCTATCTATCTATCTATCTATCTATCTATCTATCTATCTATCTATCTATCTATCTATCTATCTATCTATCTATCTATCTATCTATCTATCTATCTATCTATCTATCTATCTATCTATCTATCTATCTATCTATCTATCTATCTATCTATCTTCTATCTATCTTATCTATCTATCTATCTATCTATCTATCTATCTATCTATCTATCTATCTATCTATCTATCTATCTATCTATCTATCTATCTATCTATCTATCTATCTATCTATCTATCTATCTATCTATCTATCTATCTATCTATCTATCTATCTATCTATCTATCTATCTATCTATCTATCTATCTATCTATCTATCTATCTATCTATCTATCTATCTATCTATCTATCTATCTATCTATCTATCTATCTATCTATCTATCTATCTATCTATCTATCTTCTATCTATCTATCTATCTATCTATCTATCTATCTATCTATCTATCTATCTATCTATCTATCTATCTATCTATCTATCTATCTATCTATCTATCTATCTATCTATCTATCTATCTATCTATCTATCTATCTATCTATCTATCTATCTATCTATCCATCTATCCATCTTTTACTACTCTACTCAGAAATATCAACCTTTTATATTATATAGATTCGCTCGATTATATAGAAAAGTCTTTTTTACCCAAGTAATTTAATTTCTTAGTTGGTCTTGGTTGGTCTGAGTTGAATAAATATTTTAAATTATCTAATTATAAATTTAAAAAGAATATACATAATTGTGAATATATAATTAGATATTGTTTATATAAGGAAAATCAGACCTCCATATACTAAAAAGGGCCACTAACACGATTAACGATTTAGTATTTCCCTCACAAAGCTTATCATTGAATGCACTTCATCCTAACGAACAAATATCCAATAATTATCTTCCGGTACAAACCCCTTTACCGCCCAACTCCTCAAATGTTGCAATAAGTACAAGTGTTAACAACCAATCATTAAATACGTTTGACACCGTTGCTACGCCCAAGCCTCTAAAAACTATTCCTCCTAAGAAAACTATATTTGCTACCCGATTTGCGCTAGATACAACCGCTAATGATATTGACTTCTACATTAGAAACAATCTCGGATTGGAGCTATATAATGATATTCAAATCTATAAGATTAATGCCCGTAATAGAGCATCATTCAAAATTATTGTGCCAGAGACTATTTTTGACCAATTGGTACACCCAAATTTTTGGCCAAAAAACACAATAGTTCGGCAATTTATTTATCGGGAAGATAATAACGTTACCCTTCCTAAGGCTGCTGACTATGCTCCAAAAAACTGAATAAATCTGATTTTCCATTAGTTGCAATCGCTTATCAGAATGTTCGTGGCTTGAATTCAAAATTGAAGTCCTTTTTCCTACAAAGCTTTGACATTGAGCAAAACATCATAGTCCTTACAGAAACATGGCTCCGAGACAAACCTGAGAGAAAAATCCACAACTCCGAAATAATGTGCAGTAAATTCCAAATTTATAGACGTGATAGAGTAGGAAAGGAAGGTGGCGGAGTTTTGATTGCAGTTTCAACTCTTTTTCCTTCCGAAGAAATAATCCTTAATGAAGTCCATGATATCGAATTCATTGCAACGTGTGTTAAAACTAAATTAAAGACTATCTTTATTACATGCTCATACATTCCTCCTGCATCAAGTATCCAAATATATGAACGACACTCTACAGCGATAAAGCTCGTAGTAAATTTATCCAAACCCGATGACTTAATTATTGTCTTAGGAGACTTTAATATTCCTAACATAATATGGTCTAAAACTCCGGATTCAAGTTTTTTAAGTCCATCAATAAACTCGGAATCAAGTTTAGACTTTATTGATTCCATTGCAGAATTGGCGCTTTTTCAAATAAATAGCATACCAAATTTATATGGTAAAACACTGGATTTAGTATTTGTTGATCGCCCAGATGAATTTAAAATACAACGCATAGATCCACTTTCGACTCCAGAAGATGTTTATCACCCTACACTTGAAATTAGTTCAAATATTAATATGCAAATAACGGCAAAACTAGTTCCGAAAGAAGAAAAAGTCTTTGACTTTAGGAAAGCTGATTTTTCCAAGTTAAATCGCCTACTCTCATCAGAGAATTGGTTCGATTATGATTCTCACAAAAACTTAAGTCCATATAACATCGATCTAATTCTAAATAACTTTTACGACGTCCTATTTAAATGTTTTAAATTATCTATTCCGATGAGAAAACTAATAATTCCAAATGGCCCACCATGGAATACAAAGCAGCTCACTACACTGAAAAACTTAAAAAATAAATACTATAAAAAATACAAGAAATCCGGCCTATCTACTGATTACGCGAAATACTCAATATCCAGATCAACTTTCAACTTGGCAAATATCCAGTGTTACAATAATTATATTTTTAAAGTAAAGACAAATTTCAAAAACAATCCGAAATCTTTTTATCAATTCGTTAATTCGAAACGTCGGATATCTGGATATCCTTCCATGATGAAATCCGGAGATTCAGAATCTTCAATTGATTCGGAGATTTGCGACATGTTTGCTGATTTCTTTTCCTCTTCTTATTCAAAGAAGTCACTAAATATATTATCAAATTATCCATATTCAATCTTAGAGGCAACTCCAATCCACTGTCCAACAATACACACATCCACTGTACTCTTGGCTATACGAAAATTAAAATTTTCCGATAAATATGGTCCTGACGGTATACCAAGTTGTGTTCTACTGAACTGTATATATCCTCTTATTTCACCCTTAACATACCTTTTTAATGCATCACTTTCCAACGGTTATTTTCCTGATTTCTGGAAAAAATCATATATTATTCCTTTGTTCAAATCCGGAAACAGATCCAACATTTCCAATTATAGAGGTATTGCCAAATTAAGTGTTATTCCAAAACTTTTTGAGCAGATAGTCACAGAAACACTGTCACACCAAGTTTCAACATTTCTGTCACCATTCCAGCATGGATTTAAAAAAGGACGTTCAGCCACCACTAATTTATTAGAATTTACAACTTCCGTGATCAAATCTTTTTATGCCGGCTATCAAACTGATACTATCTACACGGATTTCAGTAAAGCATTTGATAAGGTGAATCATAACCTATTGCTTTACAAATTAGACAAACTTGGACTTACACCTATATTCCTCAATTGGATTTCCTCATATCTTAAAAACAGATATCAATGTGTATCGTTTAGAGGATGTACATCGAAAACCATCCCAGTTATATCCGGGGTCCCTCAAGGTAGTCATTTGGGTCCAGTATTATTTCTAATATTCATAAATGATTTACCATCTTGCATCACGAATTCCAATATATTAATGTATGCCGATGACGTCAAACTTTTCCTTAATTTGAACCATTCCAACCAATGTTCCTTACTCCAAGCAGATCTAAACAATTTTAGCCAATGGTGTAATGAGAATTTAATGGATTTGAATTTGAAAAAATGTAAGCAAATGACATTCTTCAGACGAAGTCCAGTAGTCTGTAGCTACTCGATAAATAACTATCAACTAGATAAAGTTGATGTGTTCCTTGATCTTGGCGTTCTACTCGATAACAAAATGTGTTTCAATTCCCACATTTCCCAAACTGTTAATAAAGCAAAAGGTGTATTAGGTTTTATCAAACGCTGGGGAAAAGAATTCGATGATCCTTACGTCACAAAACAATTATTCACGTCGCTTGTAAGACCTATTTTAGAATATGCTTCAGTTGTATGGGATCCTCAATATGAAATCCATATTAAGAAAATTGAATCCGTACAAAAGCAATTTCTTTTATTTTGTCTTCGAAAACTTCCTTGGAATCCTAACATTAATCTTCCATCATATGAAAGCCGTTTAGCTCTCATTAAACTTCCCTCTCTACAAAGTAGGAGAATATGTATGAACATATCATTCATAAGTAATCTAATGAATGGAGTAATTGACTCTGAGATCTTACTACGTAAAATCGAGTTAATAGTCCCAATTCGTCCAACAAGAAATTATATTCCACTTAAGCTACAATACTTCCGTTCAAATTACGCCAACTTTGATCCGATGCGTAGAATGTGTGCTCAAGTCAACAACTTATACAATCATATCGACTTTTCAACCGATCCAAAAGTCATCAAAACAAGCATCCTAAACTTTTTAAATCAATATCCTCCCTACTAAAGTAACATTATTATTTTAGTTTTATTATTAGTATTATTATGCTTTATCTTATTTAATGTTTTAAATCAATTGTAATTAGCCAGTAAGAAATTGTAATTTCATTGGCGAAATAAATAAATAAATAAATA